GTGGGACCCGAACCCGTCTCATACGTTACAAAACGAACTAGACTAAACTAGCAGAATGTTGTTAAATGACAAATCAGGTGATAAACCTTCATTTTATTAGTTAAACAACTTTGCTGAAAGTGGCAACGTACCAAATAACAATCCGTTTTAAATGTACCTAGTAAGATTAAAAAGTGACCAATTCATACTACCTGTGACATAGTGGGTGTATTAGTCCTTGGCAATTCATCGCGGAATCAACCACTGTCTCTTATTATCAACGGTCAATAAGGCGGTAAACAAACTAGTATTGTACTCGTATATCATACGCCGTAAAAGGATAAACCAATTCCGCATACCTCTTACTACTTGATAATGTCGCTGTTACATATATGTAGCGAGCTGTTTGTGATATTGTTTGGAAATATATTTTAATTAATATTTATTTGTACTGTGTCAAATTAGCCTTATTATTGTAGCACAATACCTGGAAATATTTTATTTCGGAAGTTATAAACTGACCGTGATATAAATAATTTAATGTCGTTTTTTGACGACGCTGAGTTGATGGTTCTGATTCTGATTGATAACAGTAACTAATGTTTCTGTTACCGAAAGAACTGTTAAAATCATTGATATCTGATTTTTTTAATAATGTAAGGAATGGAAAAAACAATTGCATTCGTGCTTTAACAATGAAAACCCACGATAACAATGTACATTCATAGTACGAAACAACTGCGTTACATATACTAATATTATGTTACAAAGAGGCAGGATTTGTATTTTTGTACTAGCTTTCGCCCGCGACTCTGTCCGCGTGGTAATAAAAAAAAACAAATAGCCTATGTGTTCTTCCAGACTATTCTCTACATCTATATCAAACTTCATTGAGATCCGTTCAGCAGTTTAGGCTACAAACTCTAACAAACATCCATCCATCTAACAATTTCACATTTATAATATTAGTATGATGTATTCGATTCACGTAAAAACTACTGGGCCGATTTTAAAAATTCTTTCACCATTAGAAAGGTAATTTATTTGGGAGTAAGATAGTCTATGTTTTTTGTTACTGTTTAACATCACGTGGGTGAAGTCGCGAGCAACAGCTATTACCAAATATTTAGAGCACTTATGTTATGTAGGATTATGATAACTATGTCTAATTAAGCGATTCGAATTTTATTATGTTCTTCACTTTGTATTACGATCTGTTTTATCATCTCTGTGTAGGTGTCGATATACGCCCATGTGTCCGGCGAAGCAAGAAAGCGCACTCAAGGCCGTTCCTTATAAACTTTAACATTTCGCTTATAGAGCACAATAATTGCAAAAAATCATATATTATTAACGACACTTGAGCACTTACTGTGCTTACTGATGTAGTCCGACTTTTAACATTTTGATCTTGTATATTAAATGAATAAATTATATCGAAGGTTTTGAAAATAAATACAATTGAAGTCTTTAATGCAATTACGAGTGCTTTTATTTTTAATGCAGCTGTATGAAAGTGCTCTGATTTTATTTTAGATTTTTTCATTATAACTATTATAGTTCTAATTAAATTTAATAACAACTATAAAGCTAAGTTAAACATAAACACTTAACCTCGTGGAATCTGCTATTTCTACTGCATCATAGTACGTAACTTATCTAACTTAAATCGATAAATTACCTCGGCTATTTGATTCATCAATTATTTCATAAAACGCAACTAAGAAAACTTGTGAGAGTGAGTCTCTATTATCATATATAAACCAGCGCTTACAATCCCACCAAGACTAAAGTGAAAATGTGGTCTAAGGTGATCACTTTCTATGTTTATTCCAATGTTTTAAGTACTATACAATTATTAAGAATCCGATAAAAGTTTTCATGTTTAAAAAAATTTTTAGAACTTTGTACAATGTAATAACACAAGGAACATCGAATGTCACGTAAAACGATAAACAAAGTAATAAATGTAACAAAGGCCAAAGTAAATGTTTATATTTAGAAAGGGAATTTCATATACAAAATGATACAACACAAATTAGTTTATTGTTATTTTTAGTTTATTTCTTTCTGTACAAATATTTTCAGTCGTTCGTTGTATCTAAACCGAGGATCGACGTTCCCCGATTTCTCGATGAGTTTACCACGGGTGTACACCGTACACTCCGGTCGCAATAGGAGTCGAATACGCAGCAACACGGGCAAGCGGCGCAGTGTAGGCGAATGGCGCTGCAGCATATGTTGAAAGAACTGGGGCACTTGCGTAGGTGCTGACGACGGCTGGCGATGATTTAATATCTACACGAGATTGGTGAGATGACGCTACGGGTGCAACTGCTCCCAATACAGAGGCCACCAAAGCGGCTGATCGTTTATGGATGAAGTGCCCTTCAGCCAAAGCCTTTGCTTGCAAATGAGCAGCGCGGGC